GGGCGGATACATTGAGTAAAATGTCTCAGAAAAGATCCCTTAACCCAGCTATAAAGCAGTCTATTTATGTTTTTTCATATTTTCTGTAATAAACAACTTTTTCGAGAAAAAAATTTTTGTCCGGATTTAAGTGGCGGACCCTGTATATATATATATATACACTTTCTGACATATTTTTTGCATATTACGCAAATACGTTTCAGTGATTCAACGAAGGACTGGTGCATTAGATATTAGATTATACCAAAGACAGTTAGCCCAGAAAATGTAATTAAACAATGTTTCTTTGATATCGGAGTCAAAGTGGAAAATTGGAAATTAGGGCGTATAGTGTTTCAACTCTACAATGTCGTACCGCTCACATGAGAGAACTTCGCAGCTTTTTGAAATAAACGGTTTGTCGTATAGTACAAATTCTAAGTACAAATTCTAAAGAATCGTCTACAATGAGAGTAAGTAGTATAGAGTAAGAAGTAAGGTTCTTGGAGTTATTTCATTTTTGTCTATACAAGTAATTATTTCGCGTTTTTTGACACGCGTCTTTTATTGGCTGACAATAAGGCAGTAGGCAGAAATGAGAATTGCCCATTTCGTTATTCCTGTCTCGTTTCTTCATCGAAAAATAGTTTACTCTCTACTCCTACAGTCTTACTACCTTCATTGTAGACTAGCCATAAAAGTTTGCTATATACAAATACTGCTCGTCTGCAATATTTTTTCTAAAACGCAAACTGTCCTACAAATAATTTTGTTTATATGCAACAAATGCGCTATTGAAATCAAATCCTAGACGTTTAAAACAAGATTATGCTATCTACACATCTAAATATTATACTCGCATCCTTCTACGTTGTGCATTAAATCAAAATTTAAACTACCAGGAAATTACTCTATTTCATCGAATTGTCTGCGGTTACTGATGTCAGAACGGAGATGTCACAAAGTTTAATAATACCGACGGTACCTCTATATACGGCGACTCATTTGAAAAGGAAACCTTCAATTTGCGTTACAGTCCCGGTATTCTATCTACCCTATGACGATGATAATGGCAGAAACTATTCCAAGTTTAATCTCACTTTTAAGCGTTCGCTATCCGCGAACAATGATAAAATTGTTTTCGGCCAAGTGATCAAAAAAATGGCTAATATTTAAAAGGTAACACAACTTTGGTTGTTCAAATATTTTTCATTAAAATATAAAATACGCGTAGAAGCGAGTATATTCGGATTTCGGATCAACACGAACAGAATACATGTCGCCATCTAATAGATAGTTCGTAAATTATAATGTACAAAAACGACTCTTGCTTTGTATTTAAAAAATCGAATTTTTTTACTTTTTAGAGAGTGAGATATTGATTTTAATCACTTTTACTGTCACATATATATGAATTTGAATCTATCTATCGTGTATAATATGCTTTCGCTTTACTAAACAATATCACTTTACAAAAGATTTTAGCGCGTACGTGCGTTTAAATTAAACCGCAGAGATAAACTATTCATGTCCGCCATGATTAAATAGATTGAGGTATTTGGTACGAAGACTGGGAAGCTAATAAAATCAGTGATTGCATTAAATTGCGGAGTTCTGTTGAATAAACGTGCAATGTCAGAGCTGCAAATATGATCAGGATACATTATCTTCATCAGATGAGGATGTAATTTATCACATAATCTATATATAAATACTATCGATATTTAACTTAAGTCGAATTTTATCAAAACTTCACACAAATAAAGTAAAAAAATATATATATACTTGATTGCACGCAAAGTTAGTACATTGGTATAAATATTATTATATTCTCAATTTTTTTTTCTAAATGTTTAAACTTGTCAACTATTTTTATCAAATGTTTTGTAAAAAGAAATGTAACTAGACGCAAATTCTAGAAGAAGTAAACATATTAATGTCAATTGGAGAAACAAAAATATTTGTTCTACGTAAAGCGATTGATAAGTATATGAAACGACGCACAGATAGCGACAGTGGTATCATATTGATGATGTTGTCGTTGACGATCCCTTCAGAAGATAAATATCAAGCGCTACCTTCATTACTGTACGTAACTGTTTGTGTGACAGCTGCGTAAACAAAATCAGGAAAGTTTTCTTTGCAAACTCATCCGAACTTTACGTTTCGGTCATATTATGCACGTGACGCGCGATCTTTATTACAATTTCGAAAGATCTGTTTGTTGAAAATCTGCTTTGTTCTCGAATATAGACACGGGCCATATGGCAGTTAAATATTTCTAGCATCTATCGAGAGATGTCCGCTCCCGATTCCCCACGGAAATGTCCTACATTCCGCGAAATGATATACAGGGTGTCCCAGAATTGCCGTACAATCTCTCGTAGGCAAATAGAAAGAGTAAAACTGAGTCGAAAAGTCCTGAACCATTTTTTTCTATTATTTATAATAAAGGAATAATTATTGAGTAAATCAGGCCAATCAGTGCCGACCTTTAGCCAGGCGCACGTCAGTGAGCCGCGCGCCTGGTGTGTGTGAGCGCTTCTACCTGCCTACGAGAGATTGTACAGCAATTCTGGGACACCCTGTATATTCCGCATTCGCAACATTGATTAGACCCATTACGCTTTCGAGTAATGTCTTGGTAATAGGAACTCTCAACGCCTTGCTCTTTCTTTCAATTTTCTCTCTATATATCTCATTTCTTTTTTTATTTTTTGTGTGTATTTTTTCTTCTCGCGCGACGAGTATTATTAAAAAGTAGTCGAAATATGTGTGTAACACATTATTTTTACAACTTCCGCGTTTTCTTTCTCTGTATAAGTATGCTTTTATTTGACGTCATAATTTTGACAATATACGGTATATATATATATATATAATATTTATTTTATACAAAGATTTAATTTGCTGTAAAACATACGCCGCAATTATTGTGCATTGTGCATTGAGTGAAATGAACTCTCCAAACTACGTATAATTTTATCTCGTTGTTCATTAAGTTGCGCGGTTGCGCACAATGCTCGTTATTACATACAATTATTAGATTATTTATTACTATATTATTTATCATTGTATTATTTATTATTATATCGACGCGCGTTCCTTTAAACGCGCGTTACACGTTGCTGTTATTGGATTCGTGCAATCGGCACTACAGAAATTACGACTGAGCGTTATGACATTACACAGCAGCTGCCATAATAATTAATATCACAGTTCTCCGATATCATACTGGCAATAGGTATTACATCAAATCAATTACTGCTTCAAACGTCATCACAGCGCGTCGTCACAGTAATTATAACGTATTAATCATAATTATCAATGACAGTAATTAATTATATTTCACATCCGAGCGAAATAGGTATCTGATTCGATCGAGACGTGTTAATTTCCGCATCGCACATTTTATTACAGTTGAATAAAACTTGCGACCGCTTTTGTTGTGTTAATTTTCTGAGATGTTGCGTAGAATATACCGACAGACGGTACAAACGAGTCACGTGTTACTTGTCTCGACAAATTCTTCGTTAATTTTTTAAATGTTAAAAAAAACGCGAAAAATGCTCTGACCGATCAGTAAAATTATAACGAAGAGGCGGAGTTTGTGAATAGGATGTAAGAAATAAAGAGAGAGAGAGAGAGAGAGAGAGAGAGAGAGAGAGAGAGAGAGAGAGAGAGAGACGAACCAGCGGAATTAACAACAAGAATAACAACGAGAGTTTACTTGGAAAATTCGCGCTACAATCGCGGAAATAAAAAACAATTGACGTGGCGGAATCTAACAATCCGTATCTATCGATTAAACGCTATCACATTTACGTGACACAAAACTACGTTTACGAACCCGAGAATTAGACGACGCGCACGAGATGACTGTCCGCGATCGTCGTTCTAGAGAGAGCGGAATAAATACTCTCCTGACACACACTTGCGATCTCGCATTCGCGTGATTTGCGACGAAATTCGCGATTCGTGACACGGAATATGCCACAAGGAATTAAACCGAATTTACGGGTTTACAAACTGAAGACACACCGTCTTACCAATACAATACGGGTTCTCTGATTCCTCGACGGATCCTCGCCGTTGGAAGGACCGTGGCACTATTTTCGCTATAGTCATCAATCTTGTTCTCTGAACGTCCTGTCGGAATCACGGCTCGCGCGGAACGGTAACGAAAATCGATCCTTCGCGAGAGCATCAGCCGATCGACGCTGCGTGTCGCGACCTCGATCCTTTGCGGCGCGTTATCGACCTAGCGGGTTTAAGATCGCGCGTCGAACCAATGATTCGCTACCGCGTAATCTTCGCGGTGACAGCGTGGCGCCTTTTGAATATTCGGAAGAGACCGAAAACTTCTCCAACTGAAAGATCGTTCTCAATCCTCCTGAGTTCTCCGACTATAAGCTCGCGAACGTATAAATCTCCATCTCAGTTGCAGGAAGTCTGGCTGTCCCGTAGGAGAAGAAATTCCGGCTCTCCGTGAGATTTCCGACGCATGATGTCCCCCGGCGTGCACTTTTTTCTTCTCCGGCTTCACATCACGACGCTTCGCTCCTGATGTTGCTTCGCTTATCTCTCCTCCGGGTGATGGCTAACGATAACGAGCTGTGTCTCTCAGTTCGCTCACCGCCAAATTCCACACAAAGAAAATGCGTTTCTCGGCGTCCCGAGAACGCGATCGCAACACAACAAGTCTGCAATTCTCTGCAGCGTTCTGAGAATGCAACCGTAATACCAAAATAACGACCAAATCTAAAGTTCGAGATCTAACGCGCAACTACGAAAAATAGACGCGAAAAATCCAAAACAAAAATGAACAAACCTAAAGACGGGGAAATTGCTCTCTTTGTTCGCATCGATTCCGAGATAGGACACGACTTCCCGACGCTTTGTCAAAAGAATAACTAATTATCCGAGTGACTGGCGCCGTAAAGGCGTCGCGTCACAAACTTTGATAAGGGTTTACAATAAATATTAGAAATTGCAAATTACGGAACAAAATTTTCGAAAACGTCGATCTCGTAGCACGTTCATAAATTTAATGCAACGACTTGCTTGTTAATTCTTATTATTTTTAATAGCAAAAAATATGCAACATCTAGTCGTTACATCACGACGCGATTGATTTGAGTTTGAACAATAAAATCCTCCTTTCTCTCTTTCCGCGTCATCGATATATTGTAATATTTATCTTGATTATACGTGACTGGAAGCATCGGCTGTGCAAGTTTCCATTTTGCTAATTAGAAACAATTGTTCGTCTTTTGACATCGAGTTAAGCAACAACTTATTACGTGAACTGGGCGGTTATCAAACGTATGTATCACGATTGTTGCACGTGTGCTTCGCGACAGATCTTATTGATGTTTTTTTGCTCCCACCCACGCAAGAAAGATGTGTATTATCTCGCGACTTCTCTCTCTCTCTCTCTTGCTCTCTCTCTCTCTCTCTCTTGCTACCATTTAAACGTTTCAATATTTTTTCCGATAGCATGTAAGTAACAAAATAAAAAAAAATAAGGAAATGTTTTTCCGCGCTCTCTTTCTTTTTTATATTAACCTGGATAGATATATACTCCGGTGTACTCCGGTGCATATTTAGATGCAAAAGACACCATTATATACCGAGGCTAAGGATTTTAATCAGATATTTCCGAGCAAGAACTTCCAAGTGCTTTTCGCGTTTCTCTTTGTTTTGTCTCTCTTCTAGAAATCTCATCAGACTTCGGTTTGTATAATTTTCTAAATATATATATAGTCAAACCTCGATAATTCGAATCTTAAGGAAAGAGCTAAAATCTTCGAGTTGTAGAGGTTTTGACTTATCGAAGTTCTTTTTTCCTTTTCGCGAAGCGGGAGTGAACAAAATTTGCGTCTTATAAAGGTTTTCGAGTTATAGAGATTCGAGTTATCGAGGTTTGACTGTGTATATACATATATATTCTAATTATTACTATTCTAATTTATTATTTTCTAATATATATATATATATATATATATATATATGAGGAGTGAGTTTATATAGGGTTAACCCGGGTAAGATCGCCACAGTTTTCTTTAAATGCAAAAAACAGACCTTTATTTTTTTTATTTTTTAATATTGTTTTTTTTATTTTACTTCACTGAAGCTTAAAGTAATAATAACTATCAAAATTAAAGAGAAAACACTTAACAGAAATTTAATATTTTATAAAATATTAAAATGTATGCATTGGCCATCTTCCTTTTTAAGGGAAAGATGGCCATACATGTTTTTTTGTAAAAGATATAAGTAAAACTTATATAATTATTTAATTTAATTATATATTTAGTAATTTTTTTTTATACGTTAAATACAATATATTTATTGTACGTAAAAGATTATCACATATTGTTGTTAATGTTTTCATGCACAGTATTTTTTTAATTATGAAACGCAACTTTATGTAAACTATAAAAACAATTAGCAAAAAAAACATTTTTATTTCGATGATTAAATACATTGTAGATTATACTAGCCATAAAAAAATATATATATTATTATATGTAACTTTTGTAAAAAACATGGGCCATCTTTCCCGAAGTGTGAGGAAAAGATAACATAGTATTTATAAATAAATAATAAAAATAAAAATACACAAATTATTGGTTACATTATAAGTTATGTGCCTTTATCATGTATGTAATATTGATTACGACAGTTTAACTATAATTTATTCGACGTTACAGCTTTTAGACATACGTAAAAGTTTGCAGGCAATCGAAAGTAAAAACATTATATAA